AGTACATTTTTAACTGAATCGCTTCAATTTTTATGTATTTTCTCAAAAATAAATGTTGATCCTTATTTTGATGACCCATGACATATAAATAATTTTTAAATTATAAGTAGAGTAAAATAAGATCCTTACCTTAAAGCCAAGCTAAAATGAGTAAAATCGCATTTTTTTGATATTTCGGTAACATTTCTTTTTTTTAAAGAAAACCATATTTTTTATTATCAAAATTAATTTATAATGTTTAAGTTAAAATATGATTTAAGGGGTAAATTGGGAGGAAAAAATTAAAAATTAAAATCCCAGAAAAAAAGTGATTTATGAGTCGTTAACCATTAGTTTTGGATAATTATTTTACCTATTAACATCTAAGATATTAGTGTGATGACCTAAACTATGTTGGTTTTTATAGATGTATTTAGTATATGTATCCTAGATGTTAAAACTATCCTAATCTAACTGCGTTTATCCATTAGACCATTCCCAGGTTAAACATAAGCTTAATAGTTTATCTTCGAGGTTGATTTTAGAGGAGATAGTACATTAGAGTTGCTTGTACTTTTACTACTATTTGGTTTTCATTTTATATAATATAATGTGTTACTAAAATAATACTAAAAATAATAAAATATTCGTAGCCTTACACTACATCATCTCAATTAATTTTTAAATACAGACAATACATACTATAAATTTACATGTTATTATATTTAATACTATACTAACGTAAGTATAATTTATACCTATTATAAGTGGCCCATATAAGTTGCTTATAAAAAATGATTTAAGCTTCGATGCAATATAACCCCGCTGAAAAATATTCTTTACACAGTTATAAGAAAAATATATTTAAGACAAAAGTTTCGGTCTAATTTAATAATAACAATGTATTAAATAACCATGTCTCATTACTGATATTCTTTGAACTTGAAAATTATACTTTAGGACATTAGTGTTTATTGTTTTAATTAATAGACTTGTAAAGCACTTTTATAATTTACTTTTTACAACACTGCAATAAACGAATGGAGTTTATTAGACCAATAACATACACATAACTTATACTTATGTTTTAATAACTATCAGTGATTTTTTTCCAATATATAAAAACGTTTTTTACCTTTCTATATGATGGTACAATCAAACAACTTGATGATATTCATTCTATGTAACTAACAATCGTGAAAATTAGTATAATTTTCTAATTCATTATTCTGGTGTAATTGTGAATTCTAGAATCATATTAATTTTTTAGCAAAATAAACAAAACAATTCTTTAAATAATATAACTAGTTCGATGTTGTTTTTATTTTTGATGTATTTCATATTTAGGTCATTGGTATACATGGCTAACTGATTAAATAAGCATACACAAAGCATCATATGAAAATATGTTTTTTTCTTATTTCAATAAATAACACAACATAAAACGTGTTTTCAATACGTTTCCGTGTTAGAAAGTAAATATGAAATTATTTAGAAAAGTAATAACACTGATAAAACCATATAATATTTTAAAAACCTTATACAGAAAATTTCTTGGTGCCCTAAGACCAATTGCAGCAATATGGATAAAAATAATATACATTTTTATGAAAACATTTTTAATTGTGGTTGATTTCTTGCTACACTGATTCACTCAACATTTTAACTAATTTTCAGTTACCATGGACTGCCTCTTCTGTCTATTCTGTGCTATTTTTTATTCATTATATACATTTTTCAATCAAGCGAGACAATATTCGAGTTAACAATAGGTGATACTATCCGGCTATGAATAAAAAGGGTTGAAGTGTACGACAATAATTCAAAAAGCATGTCTAAAAGTAACCATAGTAGATACATTTTTAAAACGAATTTAATAACTTTTTTTTTATATTCTTTGTATTGTTGGTAAGGTACTATCAACTACAGGACGTTAGCCTGATGGTCCATATACAGCTTAACAATGCTGAAAGCGGATTTCCATAAGATAATGTAATTGTACCGAAACGGTAATTTGAACTTGATCGTTAAATTCAACAGACACGGTTAAACGGCGTATAATAATGTATTTTGTTGTCGGCAGCTGAAATAAAACTGTCACCGAGCGTAGCCAATTAAAGTTAAATCACTCGGAGCCAATAAAGACTCCCTATTATTCTGTAAGTATGTTTTAAAACGAGCCAAATGGGTCCGTTCTAAACTAGTTTAAAAGCCATATTTCTAAAACTTTAGACTTCATTACTGCCGCACGTATATTGTGTTTACAAGTTTACAACAACACAGTAATAGTGTATACACAATAATATCTCATACAAACCGTATGGGTCAATTTCCCAACTTTTGCCGTTGTTATGACAATATGCTGATGACATCTCGATTTGAATCGTGTTTTGCCTCAAAAATAAATTTCAAACGGTTCTAGAGTTCTAATTGCGAAGATGGTCTTGCTGTAACTCACTCATTAACCACGACAAGCATTGCTATTTAGTTACACATACAACATAAAAAAACAAGCATCTCGCTGTACGGATATATACGGATTTTGGTTTTCTTTCTGATTAACTGTTTGGACATAAACAGAATTAACAGCAAAAAAAAAATACAAAATTCAATCTCCCCCAAAGATATATTTGCAATTAGTAAATCCCCGCGAGACACTCAGTATATCTTAATAACTGACAATGTTATTTTTATAGGAGTTTACCATTGCACTTTCATCCCTATGCCACACTGCACTCTGTCTTTTGCACTGTATCCCGGCTGGCTATTGTGTCGCTTCAACAACAAGGAAATAAATTTCAAAAAGTTTGTATTTAGCTTGGCCGTCTATAGAGTTATGTCGCAAGTACCGCAACATTGGCTTTCAAAAATATATCATTCTCTTCAGGAAAAGTTGAGATTTAAACGCGAAAAACAATATCGGGCACATGACCCCCCATACCAGCCTTAACTGTAACAGGATTTATGAAAACGTGTTAGTTTATTTGAATTTTGACGTTCCAATAATTTACATTCATTGAAATTGTAACTTTAAACATATATATTACACAACACTATCATTGTTTTTGAGTTATTGTATTCGTTTACGGTTACAGGTGTGCCGAAATTTGGATTTTAGGGAAACCCAAGACTAGGAAAACTTTTTTGTACCAACGTGCCGGCTTCGAGTGCGGTTTGTTTCGTTAATCCTGGAAAATGAGTGTCATCCTGATCACCCTGTATATGGTGGTCTATCCGTTGACGGCAAATGCGTGGCGACGGTCGAGTTGCAGCCGTCCAAAAGACGAGAACCCTTTGGGAGCCATTACTAGCCGTTTTTGTTTTTCATTACTTTCAAATGGAAATTTATGTGGCGACCGCTAAAATGCATACATGGGGACCGAGTAGAGGGTAAACGCACACGGGATATGGAGCGGATATAACTGTACTTGTGTGTGTGTGTGTGAGCAGACCGTTCGCAGGTCCCAACAAACAATTTTAAAAGACGGCCCACGTAAGCCGGTATCGCCACGATGAAATTCCTCGTTCGGTAAAACCCACAACGATCGAATTAATTGATCTTTACGCGTAATGTGTATCAAAAACGATGTATGCGATGCGAATTTGAGAGTGTATCGTTTTCAGAATAAAATGTTTACACGATGTTTTCATTATGTAAGCTCAGAACGTGATTGTTGTAAATTGATTTTACTTGGTTGTGATCGAGTCGATCAGTTTATTAAATTAGCCAGGACTTTCAAGGAAAGTCTACAAAGAAATTTCCGAAGGGATAGGTTATGTCGTTAACTGTGAGAACGAAGAAAGAAGATTATAGGCTTCCTCAGACACAATCCAACTTCACCGGCTAGATTGTTGTAGAAAAGCAGAGCAGTAGAATATTTATGTTTGCATGAAAATGCATGTTTTTTTGGGTTTTAGCCGTAATTTTAGGATCTTTAAGTTAAACATTTGTCAAGAGCTAGAACTCATATGTATTTATAACATATTAAACGAAGAAAAAATTCGGGACAACAATTATTCTTTAATTGCCGGAAAACTGTTTTTTACGCAGATTTTGTAAATTCTTACATAAATACCTTAAATCTTAAACTATTTTTATCAAATGATTACAACATTTTTATGGAAATCTACTCGGTATTCAGAATGTTTTGATACCGAATACCATTTTAAGGTTTTAATTTAATTTTTTTTTAACTTCATTAACAGTGTACAAGATGTAAGAAACGAAAAACATAGAGTTATTTTGTTCTGTTTGCATCGTCGTGTACCCGAACGCCGAACGTCATGTTGTCGCACGCTCTTATCTGCTCCGAAATTAAATTAGTTGATACAATAGATTGTATATTGTTTCACATAATCTTAATTTTAAATTTCTTCTTTAAATTACTTGAATACTTGGTTTCAAGTTTTCAAGCAATCAAGTAACCAAGCGTACAAGTAAAAAATGATCAATTAACCAAATTATGAAGCAATCGAGTAAGCATAATCACCTACTTGATTACTTGTATGTTTTCAACTTGAAACCAAGCACTCAAGAAATCTAATGAGCAAATAAGCTAAAATGAATTTGATACAAATTTTTTTAAGATTTTAGGTGTTTTTGTTCAAATATAGGCAATTTTCAAAAACACAGTTTTCCGTAAATTAAATAAAAACTGTAGTGCCGAATTTGTTTTCCGTTTAATATGTTATGAATACATATGAGTTCAAACTACTGACAAATTTTTAACTTAAAGGTCTTAAAATTACGGCTAAAAAAACTAAAAAACTTGAACCCCATTTAGGGAGGTGGGAAATGGGTTTAATTTAAATTTGATACAACTGACGTGTGCGGGCATACGAAATAAATATTCCATATAAATTTCAACTCGATCCGACTTTTTTTCTCGAAATTATAGCCAGTAAAAGTTCTAACTTAAAAATTCGTACGGTTTTTGACATTTTCACGTCTTAGCTCTGGCACATAACCGAAAAAAGCGAAACGAAAAAAGGTTCACGAAAAAAGCGTTACCACACGGAGATGGAACGGAATATCATTTATTATATAATTGAATTGCAAACAAATGAAACGTGTATTATGGTTTATTAATAAAACAGTTTTGTTTTATTTAAAAATAAATTTAAGATTTATTTTCCGCTTTTACATCTTTTTCAAATAATCCAGCGAGTTTTTCTATAGCCGCTATAATATTTTCTGCGTTTCCAAAAAAAGCTTGGTCTATCACTAATTGAGTATACTCATTTTTATTATCATAAGTTCTAGTTTTTGTTGCCTGAATGAATGCTTTTCGTCCTTCTTCGAAATTGCCTTCTTTCATCAAGTTTCTTGCCGCAATAACTTCTTCTCTATATGTTGGGACCAAATTTTTTAATCGGAACTCTGTTTAGTGGACACAAATAATATTTTAAAAACTTGTCTAATACTGTATAGGAAATAAGTAAATCAATTATTTATAAAAAAGTAAATATTAAGAGTGGGGCCGTACTTATCAATTCGAGGTATCGTTTTTTTATGTCAAGCATTAAACAAAAATTACATGTTTCATAAAATACGTGATTGATTTACTTATTTCAGTAAGATCTGACTAGTGTTTTTATTAAACTTAATTAAACTTTCAATTTTTTGAAACAGCTCTTTTTATATAAATTTCTACTAAGCTACAGACATTTACAAGTTAAGAGTTTTGGAAATTATTGTATCCGAAATAGACAAAATCACTTTAAAAAAATAATTGACGTCTTCTGTAGATATATGAGAATATAATAAAACAACTATAATGTTAGAATAATTATTGTGTTTGTTTTGATTAAAAACATATTCACGACATGCTTCTGAATACATTATATATTTTATTTTATATCTAGTTTTAATGGATGTACTCAAAATCTACTAGTTATTGCTATCTGTCATACTTTCAGACTCTGAATTTCCATGTATATACTTTCTGTAATAATTTCAGAATATAATTTCTACAACTATTCAAAAAAAGTAAATTTGTTTAAAATTCTTATAAAACTAATACCATTAGTAATATTGTGTACTCTCTCGGTTAGGTTTTTCCAAATACAACAAAGAGTCAAATGAATTTATGTTTACCCTATAAGGTACAAAACCCCATTATAAAAGCAGTGGTCTCTATGGAATAAAAATCAGATAATTTGAGGTGCCCTTATTTTTCCTACGCTTATTAGATAAATATAAAAATAAATACCGTTTTTAATACTCACGGTTGATGAAACCGTCATCTATTAAACCTACTCCTAAATCACATTGAAGAATGTGTTTTGGGAGATTTCTTAAAGAGAAGGGTTTGTCTTCTTTCACAGCTCGTGGACTAACGCAAAACACGGTTTTCTTTAATGCCTTGATGGGAGAAGACTGAAAGACGCACATAATATTATTAATATTAATAGTCTCATAGTGTTTCTGTTGACTGCCATCAAATAAAAGTTGCTTATAAGGTATAACAGTTTTGCAGCCTCAGTAAACATAGATAAAAAAAAAATTGTTGCAAGCTTATAGAGGCTCTGGGAATAACTGGTTACTAGTCATTTTCCTGTGTATTAAATAAATACCAAATAGTTTGTATGTATTTACATTTATGAAATATTTCGATAGAGATCCGACCAAGGCTCTTGGACTATTGGGTGGTGTCTTTTCCGGTGTATTACCACCATCTGTTGACACGGTCAAAGCATTGAATGAATTCTGAAAGACAAATATTAACATAATATTAAAATTAGTAGTATCATTAAGTTCTTGTCGACTGTCATTATACACCAGTTGTCTTGAAGGATAACAGTTTTTAAAACCAATTTTTCACTATACCTAAGATACATTTGCTTACGTTAAATACAGGCATTGTAAACAAACCGTAACAAACGACAGCTGTCGGGATTACTATAAGCTATTAATATCATAAGAAGTCATATAGTTTACCAAAAAAATGTGTATAGATTTTACACTAAATTATTTACCCTTAAAATTCATATGCAGACAACACAATGCTATAAATCTACATATTATTACGTTACTAAATGTTGTTTTTGTAGTATAAATAGTTTAAGAAAAACTCTTTATATATACAGGATGATCCACTTATCGTGAACCACTCAATATCTCACTGGGTTTAATTAATAATTGCATTTTTTTTTCCCCAAAATGTTTTTATATAATGTGATCTCAATTTTTCCCAATTTTTTTTTTTTGGTTTTACCCCCCTCTCAAATTAGTTTTTTCAATAGCAACTCTTGACTTTCAAATGGGATGATAGGTTTTTTTTTTAAAGTTATGGTTCAAAACTAAAAAATAAAATATTTGGTCAAAAAAAATGTTAATTAGCTTAATGCATTGGTAAGTTATTAATATTTAAAGATTTTAAATTGGAGCCTTTTCGGTAGATTAATTCTCGTTACCAACGACGATGGGGCTCACTTTTTTAGTACAGTTCAAATCAAACGGCACAATAGGGAATTTCAAAAAAAATATTTAGTATTTACAGTCAACGTATGCCAATGATATGTGCATCATACTATTTCTGTATTAATGTATTTGTTTTATTATTTGAAAGACATCTAAAGAGAACCAATAAACAATAGTAAATCATTTAATTTATTTTACTCTTGCGGCATGATTATCGTTCCCTTTTTGTACTTTAAGGCCCCTGGATCCCGACCATTTTTAAGGAGTTTTGTATAGGCAATATTTAAGAAAAAAGTGATTTTATTAAATTTCGAACATGTTAATTAATTTATCGGTTAATTTATATGAGCTTCACGGTATTATTTTTAATTTAAATAATTTTGTCTATGAGTAAAAGCCATTTTAGTTTATATAATAGTACATTTATTGTCCATCGCACAGGCTGAACCAGTGATCCGATAAGTAATCTAAAAACAGATTTGAATTCGTCATGAAGTTTACTTGAGATCGGTCAGCGTACTTTTTTGATATCTTATTCCTTCTACGCATAAAACACGTTTGAACATTTTATAAAATTTTAATTTTAAAATCAAATTTGGAAAGGGTTTAAATTAAAAATTGAAAAAAGTGCTTTGACCGATCTCAAGTAAACTTCATGAAAAATTCATATCTGTTTTTAGATTGCTTATCGGATCAATGGTTCAGCCTGTGCGATGGACAAAAAATTATGTGTTTTTGCTGAAAAAAACGGTCGGTATCCAGGGGCCTTAATATGGCTTAAAGATTGAAAATATTACCAAAAAAATGTATAGCAACCTATTTTGTAATTAATTAATTACAATCTATTGATCAGTCATCAGTACCTACCTAAATATTAACTTTTTTTGTAAGCGTTGTTGTGTTGAAAATTTTTATTTTAAATTATAATTCCCCATTCACAAATATTTGTGCCTAACATTTCAATTTTTTTCTTTTTCTTTAATAATCTATTTTAAATAATAGAAGATTTATGTTATTCACCAAAATAATATTCCTAGAACTGTATATACAATAGTTACTAACTCTGTTCATAATTTAATATATCAGATTGAGGAACATGTTGAACAGCTTGTACAGTCGATTTAATTAAACAGTACAACAAAAATAGATTTCTAATAACTTACTTTAAGTTTGACAATTTTTAGCATTTTCTTGATTGTTTTAAGAGGTAATATTTAATTTAGTTTAACATGATTTGACCTTACCTGGTATTATGATTTTATCGTTAATGACAAATTTGGTCTTGCAGTTTTAAATAAGTAACATAAGATATTGTCTCTTAAACAGTTTAAGACAGTGTTTATATTGTTTTAAACTAATAATATGTAATTTAAGTAAATAGATACTTAATGGTTTGACAAGGAAATCTCGAACAAAAATTAGTCTCTAAAATTACAATACTTTTAGAGACTAATTTTTGTTCTTGGTTTTGTTTAATGAAATCATGCCTTAAGAGTTATTATGTTTTTATTACTATTTTTTTTTTTATTATTTAGCATATACTAGTCTTATAAATGTTTAGGTGATGTTCATACGACCTTTTTTACCTATAAATATTATTTTATTTTCACAATGTTGAAGAATAAAAATAAAGCACGGTAAATTTTTAGTAGAATTATAAAGTTATTAGTTTTTTGAGTGCTTGGTTTAAATTTTTTTTATAATCATTTCTTTTTTGGTATCAGGAAATACCTTCCGGAATTCCGACACAATCTTTAACAGGTATGGATTTCATCCTCATTCTTTGTTATTATTGAACTATACTGTACTAAGCAAAAGCTAACGTTTGTTTTACCAAAAACCACGAATTAAGATAATTTATTAATTCATACTTAAAAGTAACACTGATCCTCGACGATTTCATCTAAATTTATAAAATCTACATTTTTTTCGTCAATTATTTGCCCTTGTAATACAATAATCAAGTTAAAATAGGGAAACTGCATGTCTTTTAAACAAAAAACTTCTTCTCGTTGTAGGTAATGAGTAGGATCGGATTAGAAACTTCAAAGTTGGCCTAACCAGTCAATATCTCACTGGGTTTAATTAATAATTTAATTTTTTTTATAATGTTTTTTACAATATGATCTCAATTTTTCACATTTGTATTTATAAAATTTCTACTTATTTAAATTAATCAACATTTTTTCGATTTCATAAAAGATTTTTAATCTTATTTTTTGTTGTTTTTACCCCCTTCAAACTTAGGTTTTTTTATAGCAACTTTTGAAACTTAAATGGTAACGTATATATTTTTTTACCTTTTTAAATTGATAATAATGTACTTATGATTTTGACTGGTTGATAACCAGTTTCGGACAACTATTTTTAAAGTTATAAGAGTTTAAAAGTTAGGATGGGAGGTGAAGTGCGGTTGGGAAATGCGTGTAGATAAAAATAATACTATACTCTACTTTTCATCCTGCCCTAAACTTGAAACTTCAATAACTTCAAAAATAGTTATCCGAAACTAGTTATCGACCAGTCAACATTTTTAGCACATTATTTTCAATATAAAAAAGTAATAAAATATATACGTTACCATTTAAAGTTCTTAAGTTCATACGGTTTTGACATATAAGGGATGGGGTTATATTTTTCAAAAATATATAAAATTTGTCTCAATTAATAACTATAAAATTATAAAAAAAATAATTAAAAAAGTCTTATATCTTTTAAGTTATTGACTGGCCCATAGTTAACCAATCATCCAGTATACAAACAAAAGAAAAGCCTATATCATGGTAAAACCAATACCTTTGTCGCTTTGCACCGAAGCTAAAATCACCCTGTATTCTTATAATTTTATTTATAGAAATTTAAATAATTTAAAAATCCTTATTTTTATACTATTGCCGAGAGGCTAAACTAAACAGAGACAAATATATTTTAATTTGTAGACATTTTTATACAGTTGTTGTAGGTAGTTGCCTTTATTTTAATGAATATATGATAAGCAGCATATCAACTAGAACATACAGGGTTGAGTTAAATTTTTTTATGAGTAATAGTAGTTCTTTAGACAACAAATTCAGGTATGTATCTAACATATTTTGTTCCAAGTTGGGGATTTGATTTTGATGATAGTGGATACTTTAGTCCAAGTGGGTAGCTGGTATTAACACGACATTCTACACCTTTAATACAGAAATATTTGCCGAAGCCGGTCCTTCTATTAAAAACATGTTATTTTAAGTTTTCATAATCAAAAATTAGGCATGCTTAAAAAAAAAATTGAACTCAGCGAAGATAATATTATAAGTGGTTTTATCACTTTTATTAATAATAATTCCTGTAGACCTGTGACTTCTCCGTCCCACTATGCTTTGATCCCATTACGCCTCAACCCCACTATACTGGCTTTTTTGGTAAAACCACTTAAAAGCAAACGCTTTGATATTAATTTGTAAACATTGCACCTCACTTTAATACTTTCTTACTATGCTGGTTTATACTGTACTTGGTTTAGACTTAAATTATTTGAAAATACTAATTACTGATTCGCATCGAAGCGTTTATTTGAAATTAATTTGATCACTTGCATTTGTAATAATTTTTATAAACCTGTGGGCTGTGACCGTCCCGCCCCCAACCCTAAAACACTGGCTTTTTTATAGTTAATTTTTTTTAAAAATGTAAATGGTCCTCTACAAAAAAAAAAAAACTTACCATAAACCTATTAAACAATTAAGAATTTTACAATACTTTAGAATGTATTAATAGTATTCCATATAATTTACTTCTTAATATCTAAAGCCATTCTCTACAATGATAACGATCAAAAGAGTACTCTAATTTCACACGACATTTGTGTAGACGATGATGACAACAGAAAATGATAGTTACTTTTTCGTTTCTCATACCTGGTTCTGTGTAAATGGAGTTCAGTATTCAAAAAAAGTTACAGTGTATATAGACATAAAATAAGACCACATCATTGTAAAATCAATAGCATTGCTGCTCCGCATCGAAGATAAAATGTTTTGAATTTAAATTTTTTCAAAAATCTCATTAACCAATCGATTTTAAATTATCCAACGACAATCCATCCACACGATAATGCAATGAGTATTATCAATACTACAAGTTGATTGGTTAACTTAACTATGATCAAGTCATTATCTTAGAAGATTTACAACACTTAATTAAATTATTCTTTACCACATCGGTACAATTAATTTCATGTCGCTATTGTAAAATATGAATCATTATTTCGTCATACACAACAAAAATAAAGTGCAAACAAACAAGGTAATTTCAGTCTTTTTAAATATATAAAACAATAATAAAAGTAAAAAATTTGAAATTATATAAAACTCGTA